AGCTCAACCAAGCACTGTTTGACTGAATTGATTTTCGTCTTTTCGCTTCCTTGAAACTTTTCTTTCAGATTGTTCCAGATCTCCTTAGCAGTTGTACAACTCCTTACGTAATTGTACACAACTGGAGGTAAAGCTCCTCGCAATTCCCTCATACATCTCTTCTCCAGTTTCTTTAGACGATCAGTTTGATTTTCAACACCAGAACTTGCAGAAGATGATCCAATTGCTTGAACATTCACCGGAGCGTTGACATTTCGAGTGATACATGACCATAATTCTTCATCAAGACCATTCAGATAATCCTGCATACGATCAGCCCACTGATCATAGTATTCAGGGATTAACATTGGAATTTTGGTCGATGATCCTAACAGATGAGAAAACGAGGTCATCGAATTGAGATTGAAGCTCGCCATTGTTGTATGGAAGATGATTTTGAAAATTTTGATGAAAATTTGGAAATTTGAAAACAAACTAGGTGAATCAAATCGGAATTACAAGAAGAACACTCGATTCATCAATTCAAATGCAGAATCGAATCACAAACTAAAATCTAGACAAATTTTTCACTATCAAAAAGTGCGGAAACTTTTGAACCAAAAAGTTGATTCAAAAACTTTTTGCATAGGTGAAAATCAGATCACAGATGTGATTCCTGCTCTGATACCAATTGAAGAATCAATGAATCGAGTATAAAATGAATCAGAGTTAAAATTGAAATAAGAATGCGAGATTGAACAACAGATGTAAATATGATCTTGATTCAGCTCTATTACGCTTTCGAATGTTTACAGAGTACAAAGACAGGTCTGTAAAAAACTCTTATCTAACTCTAGTAAATATCCCTATTTATAGGAATCAGAAAGCGTACAAAAAATATACTAAGGCATAGACACTTAAGCTTCAAATAAAAGCGCCTTAGTAAAATAGATTATAAAACATTTGAAGAGTGCAAAATATACTTCGACTAATTACAACATTTTTAACCCTTACAGTTCCCCAGTGGAAATGGGAACAAATTTCTATGGATTTTATCACCAAGTTGCCGAGGACTGCACGGGGTGTCGACAAGATTTGGGTGATTGTGGAGCGGTTGACGAAGAGCGCTTGCTATTAGTGAGAGCTCTTCTGCAGAGAAGCTGGCAGAGATATATGTGAGAGAGGTGGTAGCTCGGCATGGGGTGCCGATATCTATAGTGTCATATCGGGATGTGCGGTTTACTTCCAGATTCTTAAAGAAGTTCCATGAGGAGTTGGCTACGCGATTGCATTTTAGCACAGCCTACCACCCACAGACAGATGGACAGAGTGAACGGAGGATTCATACGCTCAAGGACATGCTTTGAGCATGTGTTATGGACTTCGGTGGAAGTTGGGACACATACCTACCCCTGGCTGAGTTTTCTTACAACAACAGCCACCATTCTAGTATCGACATGCCTCCTTTTGAGCTCCTTTACGGTAGGAGGTGTCGGAACCCCATCTGTTGGGGAGAGGTAGGGCAACGAGTGATGGGTGGCACTGAGATAGTGCTCAAGACGACTGAGCAGATTCAGCAGGTCAGACAGAGATTACTGATGGCTCAGAGTCGCCAGAAGAGTTACGCGGACAGGTAACGATCCGAACTCGAGTTTCAGGTTGGAGATTTCATTCTCCTAAGGGTATCCCCGTGGAAAGGGGTAATATGGTTCAGTAAGAGGGGCAAGCTGGGGCCCCGATACATCGGTCCTTTCAGGGTGACCACTAGCGTAGGTAACATAACATACCGCTTGGAGCTACCTTCGGAGTTGAGCTAGATCCATAACACCTTCCACGTGTCTCAGTTGAGGAAGTGTGTGGCCGATGAGATGGCAGTAGTGACACTTAAGGACATTCAGGTGGATGCTAGCCTGAATTATATCGAGAGACCGATCGCGATTATGGATCGAAAGGTGAAGGTTTTGAGGAACAAAGAGGTGCCCCTGGTTCAGGTTCAGTGGCAACATCGGAAAGGGTCCGAGATGACTTGGGAGCCGGAGTCCGAGATGCGGGAGCAGCATCCAGAGCTATTTGAGGAGAATGACTTAGAGGGCGAAGTCTGATTCTAGTGGGGGAGAATTATAACATCCCGAGTCCAGGTATACTTCGAGAACCTTGATCTATTGAGCTATTGTCATTTTTGGTCCTTATTATAAAAGAGTGAAAAACGAGTACGCGAGGCGTGCATGAGGTCTACGCTTAGCGTACTCGTCAGCGTGTATGTGACACGGAGACCACCGAGTACGTTGGGCGTACCCGTGAGTACGCTGGGCGTACTAGGCCCAGAGTACAACTCTAATTTTGGGTGAGTCCCCTTTATAAGGGATATGATGGCCTCATTTCTGGCCACCATTCCCAGAGAGAAAACCCTAAGAGTGCCCTAACCTCTGATCTATAGCTTATGTGTGTGTGTGTGTTTGAGCCTTGAGAGTGTTTGTGTGGTTTTGAAGAGAAGAGAAGGTCTTGAAGAAGGAGTGGTTGGAGTCCAAGCTTCTACATCCGAGCAAATATGAGTGGGAAGCTTCTTATTGAGGTATAAAGCTTCAGACTTTGCCTTTCCTTTGTTATGAGCATGTTATTTGAGCATTTTAGGGTTTTGTCCCAAAAAGGTGGAGTCTTGATGAGATCTTGAACTCCAGAGACTAGGACCAACCCCTTTTGAGTGTATGAGTAGTCTTATGTCATAAAAATCCAATCTTGGTTGGTGAAATCACTCCATGCATGAGTTATGAGATCCTTGAGACAAAAGAGTGTATATTTTGGAGGATGGTGCCTAATCAGGCATGCAAAGGCTTAAAGTCAATGACTTTATGGATTAAGAGACATTAGAGAGTCTAGATCTGAGATGTGAGCCTATGACTTAACTGGTTAAGACCAAAAATGTGAGAAGAGTGAAACTGGGGCGTATGCCGGGCGTAATCCTAGTACGTGCGGCATAGGGGTCGAGCATCCCCGATGCCTGCATGGCAGCCGGGTACACACAACGTAGAAATTGAGTACGCGCTGCGTACTCCCTGCCGTTGACTTTTGTTGACTTTTAGGGTTTGGTCAAAAGTGTGGACTATTAAGCCTATGAAGGGGTAAAATGGTATTTTCACCCTTCTGTGAGTGTAAAAGGGTTAGTCTAGTTATTGAGAGCCAATATTGATTAGGGATAATTATTATGTGCTAGGCGGAGACTAGACTGGTGGGTAGAGTTCGAGATTCCGAGTTCGAGGTTTTCTTTTGCTAGCTTACGAGGAGAGTCTTCTCATTATACTTACCTTGTGTGGTAATTTTATGTGTGACCACAGGGTCTTATGTGAATGAGCTGTGTAATGAGATATTCTGCTATTTTTTATGTGATATGCTTACTGTGTATTATACTGAGCTGCTGGGTTGAGGGACCAGAGGGTCCATCTGAGTTGTGGGACCGGAGGGTCCCACTGAGATACATTGACCGGAGGGTCTTATTGAGTTATAGCCTGGAGTGGCTGATGTGTTGTGTGTGGTATTTTGAAGAACTCACTAAGCTTTATGCTTACCGTGTTATGTGTTATGTGTTTCAGGTAGTTCCGAGGATCGCGGCAAGGCACCTGCATGATTGTACACACTGGCAGGAGATGTTTTTATGATTCTGGGATTGTGAATTACATTGTGATATGATTTTGGATACATGTGTTTTAAGATGGTGAAATGAGAATTTAATGTGTTTTTAAAAATGAAAATTTTGTTTGAAAATTTCATGTCGTTACAATTCAGCAGGGATTTTGGGGAAAAATGTAACCTGACTCGCAGAGTCACATAAGCAACACGCCGAGTCCCTCTATGTCCAAAACTATTCAGTCGATTTCAAATGGTCCTAATGCATCCAAAACATAGATCTGACCTCCTAGGGTCCATATTACACGTAAAGCTATGAACTTGACGTTCATGCATGGGGTTTTTGGATCAAAAGGCTCTAAAATGAGGTTTATATGATGCATGGGACTCCCATGGCCATAAAGTTGGCACCTTTATGCCATAGGAACGCTCAATGGTTCCAGATCTGATGTCATACCCCCTTAGAACCACAAAATCCCGAAAATGGCTCTACTAAATCTTAGAAAAGGTAGAAACTTGTCCTAACTAGAGATCTAAGAGATAGATAGTCAAGGTTGAAGCTTTCTACCTTGAATGAGCTGGAAACGAAGAAAAACCTCTAGATCTACTTGCTACTTTTGGAACCACCAAGCTTCCACTTCTTCCTTCAAGCTTCAAACAGCCACACACACAAAAAATGGCTCTAAACACTCCAAATGCTTCAGGGTTTCGAGTTAGGGCTTTTCTGGACTGTGAGAGACGATGGAGGCTGAAGTGGGATAATATAATGTGTTTAAATATGGTGCAAACCCTAAATATTAGGGTTTCATCCAGGCAGTCCTACTCGGCGAGTTGGGCTCCCGACTTGTCGAGTAGATTACTTAAAACCTGCGTCCATAATCTAGTCTACTCGACGAGTTTGGCCTCCAACTCGTCGAGTCCCAGCGTAAAAAGGCAATTTCTTATATTTAAAATACGTATCGGGAATCGGGAGTTACACGAACACAAGTAAAATCAACACAATTAAATCCATAAATAATGAAATCAACTCATAGTATTATGGTTCATCATCACCAAACGAAAGTAAAGGGTATTAGCCCATAATCATGGTAGAAACACACATAATCAAAGAGTAAACAAAGTTAAACATGGTGAAAACTAAGCAAACCGAAATATTAATGATGTTCTTCGTGTAGATCTCTATCCCGTGTTCTCCAATCGAAATCTGATCTTCTTATGGTTTCTAGGAAGTATTTAGTCGCTTTAAGTCGTAGGTATCAATAGCTCTCTGAAGCACACCTCAAAATTCGACCTAAAAGTCGTATATATAGTTTCCAAAAATCGGTCGCCACATCGTGGCATATGACTCGCCACGATGTGGGAGCCACTTCTATGTCGTATGCTCCAAGTCTTCATGTAGATCACCTCGAAGATTCTGCATAAATGACAGTCCCAAGTGGGTAGCGATGAATACGCTTGACAACTGACCAATGGTTTTCAGTGGGAGAATGCATAAACTGACAAACCTTGTTGATAGCATATGTGATATCTGGTCTAGACAAGGTGACAAATTGAAGAGCCCTTACCGTTTGGTGGTATTTGACCGGGTCGCTAAATAAAAAACTGTCCCCAAGTGACAAATTCGAAGTAGTGGTGATGGGAGATGAAATCAGTTTAGCATTAAAACGATAAGTCCTTTCCAACAGCTCATGAATGTATTTGCGTTGTGACAACATGATATCTATTCCTTTCGGAACAATCTCGATACCCAAAAAATAAAAGAGAGACCCCATATCGTGAACTACAAAGGAGGAGCTTAGGCGTTGTATTACCTTATCAATAGTGGCAACGTTGTTACCGGTCAAGATTATGTTGTCAACATAAACTAACATATACATGAGTGTGTCCCGTTGCGAGTAGTTGAGCAGGGAGGGATCAGTGTTGGACCCTCGAAAACCGAGAGCATGTAGGGTTGTTAACAGCCGATGAAACCAGGCATGGGTGCTTATTTAAGGTCGTAAAGGGACTTGTGAAGAAGACATACATGATCTGGTTTGGTTGGATCAATAAAGCTTGGCAGTTGTCGCAAATAAACCATTTCTTGCAAATAACCATGTAAAAAGGCATTTTGGATATCCAATTGTCTGAGGGGCCATTGTTTTGTGACTGCGAGAGATAAAACAACTCGAATAGTAGTGGTTTTAAACATAGGACTAAAGGTATCATGGTAATCGATCCCTGGTTGTTGGTGAAAGCCCTTGTCTACAAGACGAGCCTTGTAACGTTTAATTGTCCCGGATTGGTCTCGTTTAATTTTATATACCCAAAGCAATAAAACGTTCATTAGGTATTTATGGCCATCAAAAGAGGTATTTACGACATTGAGGTAATTTTATATACCCCCCCCCCTCCCCCCGCCAGTCAGTTTGGACAGACTTGAGCTTGGTTTGAAATTGTCGTTCAACCATAGCAAGAAAACTTTTGAAAATAATATAGATATCAGATTTAAGTTTCATAGGAACAATCCATATAAACCTTGAAAAATGATCAACACATAAAAGAAAGTGTTTATGGCCATCAAAAGAGGTTAGAGGAGCCTGTCCCCAAACATCACAAAAAACTAAATCTAAAAAACGAGAACTTTTATAACAAGATATAGGTAAATGAAGTTTCTTAGATTTGCCAATGGAACAAGAATTGCAAAAAGAGTCTGAATTATTATCTAGAACAGGTAAATGATATTTAGATAACATAAATTTGAGAAGTTTAGTGTGAGGATGTCCAATTCTTTGGTGCCAAGTTGTAGAGGAAGCTCGAGATGTAGAGAAAGCAACTTTAGGAACCGATTGAGAAGGAGGAAGGTGAAACTCGTAGAGGCCATTATTACTTGGACCTATGAGGAGGGTAGCATGTGTAGCTTTGTCCTTCACAAAAAAAAGAGGGGTGAAACTCAAAATAAAGGTGATTACCAAGGGAATATTTTTGAGCCGAAAGAAGATTTTTTTTACTTGTGGAACATGAAGAATATCATTTAGAGAGAAAGTATTGCTTGGTGAGCGAAAGTGTAAGGATCCAACGTTGGATGGGTAAACCTATGCCATTACCAACATGAAGATTGTCCTCACCATAGTAGGGCTCGGAGTTGTCGAGACTGGAGAGATCTGGGGCAGCGTGGCTTATGGCACCGGTGTCGAGAATCTAGGACGAGAAGGCTTGTGAGCAGGAATCTGCATAATTGGAAGATGGTTGTGTTATCTTGATTGTGGACGAATCCTGATTAGGGAAATGATGACCAATCCCGCACTGGTGTTAAGAACTATAGACGGTATTCTGATTAGAAGCCCAACTGAATTGACCTTGGCCTCCCTCACTATTGTTCTTATTGTTATTTTAAGAACTGCGACCCCCGCGGTTGTTGGATCCTCTGCCACGACTTTGATTGGGTCGATTGGAATAGAAGACTTGGGAAGTAGGCGGGGCAGAGGCTGTTGTTGGGGAAACTTAAAGACCAAATTGAGCAACAAGTTACTGAAGAGCATCAATCACATGTTGTGATGGAAGGGCAGTCGAGGGTGCAACCAGACTGCGAGTACTTATAGCAGCCGTGAAAGCCTGAACAGGAGAGATATCTGTAGGTGTCTTCTTAATCATATAGTCATGGTCAGATAGCAAACCGTGCAATTCTGAAAAAACAGAAGGAAATTGTCAGGCAAGAAGAGTAGATATCAAAGTGTTGTTTTCTTCACGGAGACCGGATATCATGAGCATGACAAGGTCTTTTTCCTTTATTGGTTCTCCATTACTTTCCAGAGCATCTGAGTATTCTTGTGCTCTAGTAAGATAGGCGGAAGCAGTCTCATCAGCCTTCATCTCAATTTTTAACAATTGAGTTTTGAGTGTATATTCACGGGATGATGTATGGGGTGCATAAGCACGTTCAAGAGAACTCCAGAGATCACAAGAGGTGAATCCCTTAACATGTTTGAAGGATGCTTTACATATTGTAGACAGAATTAACATTTTGATGTGGGCGTCGTTGGAGTCCCATGCAGCATTATTAGGTTTTGGTTGTTGTTCAGTTTTCATACACTCGCCTTCCTTTCCAAAGGATGAGGTTGTAACAGTAGCCGAAGGACAATGAATAGACCCATTAACATAACCAAATAACCTGTTTGTAACCAGGAAGGGTTGGAGCATAGTTTTCCACTACCCAAAATATGTAGGAGAAAGGGTAAAGCCAAATTTGTGTGAGTTGTGAATTGTCTTTTCTTTTGTAGAGAAATAGATAACAGTGTTGGCCATTGTATAGCCTGAGATGGAAGCCGGAAAAAAAAGTGAGGTAGTCGGCAATTAGGGTTAGTGAGATAACCTTGCTATGATACCAAGATAAGCTTGGTAAATTGTATATCACGTGTAAACTGATGAATACAAGAGATTATATAATAAACATAATTACACTATGCACCCTCTAATATAAACAAATACTAAGGCTATCCAAACTGTCTAATAGGCAGGAATGAAGAACAATATGAATGTTGTTTGCTATCTTACTGTTAAATATTATACATGTAAATTGGAAATTGGAACAAATATATTGAAAATTGTATAATTTTTTACTTTTTGTATAACAGTGCAGTTTATATTCAATGGTGCATATTTGTTTAACAGTGTGATTTTATATGATGGTGCGATTTATTTAACGGTGCATGTTTTTTTTAATTATGTGCCTTTTTTAATGGTGCAAATATTTTAATGATGCGGTTAATTTTTAGTGGTGCGAATATTTGAATGGCATGGTTAATGTTTAATAGTGCAAATGTTTTAATGGTGCAGTTAGTTCTTAAAGGTGCAAATATTTTATGGTGCAGTTTGAATTTAATGGTGTGAATGTTTAATGATGTGTTTTCTTATTTGTTGGTGCGGTTTAGTGTTCTTCAAATAAAGATTTTAGTGCAATTATTGTTCTTTTAGGTGGGGTTTTAAAACCACCTCGTTAAATAATTGTATTTTTTGGTGTGATATTTTTTGGTGTGGTTCGATATCCACACCAATTAATCAATTTAACCGCATCAACAAATGGGTTCTATGTGTTAAGTACGAGGATCTACATAGAATATGCAACTTACAGCTACATGGACACTTGGAAAAATGGCAATTTGGTAACCATGAAAAGGCTCTGACAGCACTTTAGGTTTTCGTAGCGAGCATAGCATATACAAAATGTAATGGAACTAGAAGTTTAAACCGACAAACCACAATTGGGACCAACAAGGTATTAAATGCCTAAGTACATAAACTGTTTGGGTATTTTAGGAATGCGTACAATCATATTCTACTCTGGCATATGTAGAGTAAAAATTCCACTTACAACTAGGAACAACAATGTGTCCAACGATATCAGCACCTACAAGAATAACCATCATTAGCGGTGATAACCACTTATAGCGGAGACATACAACTATTGTGTTGTATTTCGCAGCGAAAGGTAGCTATTGCCGCTAAAGGCGTCGTATCTAAAGGTGGTTAACCCCAATCCATGTCAGTCCCCAATATTAAACCTCCGTCGTTGATTTGTTCCTAATCCAACAGCTAGAATACACGCGTACATAGCAATAGCGGAGATACCTTTAGACGCCTATTGCCGCTGATGCTCGAAATAAAGACCGTGGATATTCGCTCTAAAACGCGTCGCTACTAATTTAATCATGTTGTTGCTAATACCCATCGCCGCTAATGGCTTGATAGGATATACACATCGAAAGCTGTTGATTTCTTTTCCTCTTCTACCTTCATTTTCTCTGTCAATTCTAAGGTTGTAAAAATCGTTCGACGGTCGACTGGTGTTAAGGGATTAATCGGTCTTTGCGGGGATTGATCGTGGATTAATCAGGGACCATAGATTATTAATAAAATATTAAAATTAATCAGATATTAATATATCTTAAGAAAAACAAGTACTTCAAAATTAGAAAATAAAAAATTTTGTAATTTGAAAATACGAAAATATGAACATTTTGGTATAATATTTGAAAATTTGAAAATTTTTTGAGTAAAGAAAAATTGAATTTTTAAAAATTTTAAATTTTCTTTTGACTTTTTTGACTTTTTTTTTACTTTTGTTGACCAATTAATCCCGCCAAGACCGATTAATCCCGCGAAACCCGATTAATCCTAAATTTTCGATTAATACCCTAATCCTTGACGGTTGGAGAACGTCAATCGATTAATCCACGATTAATCGCCGATTAATCTCGATTTCTGCAACCATGGTCAATTTCATCTACATGCATCGTAAACACTCGCTCTTCTTGGAACTAGTTCGAAGACTCAACTCATGACCTGGTGTCCACCATGCCTACCGAACTGATAGAACAATCCAATATCTAATATCTTCTCTCCGCAATGTAACGGCTGATAAGGATCCAATCTATTATCCGTCAAATTCGGGATTCTGGACAAATGTAATTCAATCGTAGCAAATGACAATACAAATCCTCGATTGATCATTCCTGACAAAGATGCAATCCTCTTGTTGAACATCATAATCACTTTCTCCTTGAGTCAGTAAATTGACTGAAGAGAGCCCGACTTCTTCTTCTTTAATACATGGAAGACGTGAATGACCATGTCCTAGCAAGTGACATCTCAATCCTTCAGCTAACCATCTTAGACAATAGTTAAAAAACTCATGCCGATCATCACATTATCTACTTCCTTGAGTCCAGATACTCAAGATAATACTACCTCGAACTAGGTTCACACGACCTTATAATCGAAAATATTGGTGCATGCC